GTTGCATATTAAACTCCATGCTACTCTCTGAGACATCCCTGTTCTCTGTTTCTGGCTCTGAGGCGTTTAACGGTAGCAGGTCAAAGGTCACAAAGGCCAGCTGAACCGGATGTTTAAAACGATCCACGGCACGTCGAGTGTCGGCCGAGGCCCTCATCATCCCACCAGGGCTGAGCTGAGCAGCGTTTCAAGGACAAGAATGAGGCACCGGTCATAAAGCAACACTTAACAGTTATTAGATTTTAAACAAGTTCATAATTACAAGTTTAAGTATAATTATTATGAAATAAGTATAAATATGGTGGTTTTAAACTAAGCTAGCATGCTAACTAAGATCAGCAACAGCAGAAATTACTCAAAAAACAGATTCAGGGAATATGTTAGATCATGAATCAGTTTTTTTTTATTTCTATTATAAATATCAACCTTTACATATCTAAAGAGCAAGTCACCCCCGAATCTACTTTTTTCTAATAAACTACATAAATGTGGGTCTAATCGTGCTGCAGACACGTGTAGTCAATAGTTTTGCGCTTTAGTGCATTTGAGTTAAAATTTTAATTTTCTGCCTAAAACTGTCAGTGTTGTCGTTGTCAGGTAAAAACTCTGCACTGCATTTGAATTTAAATCTACCATCGCTATTGGCTAAGAGGTACCCTAGAACGTTAGCTGGTACCATATGATGTCACAATTAGGGTTGTCACGGTAACCGGTGTAGCGGTAAACCCCGGTAAAAAAGTTGACAATAATAATAACCGTCTTGTTTTAAAAAAAAAAACTCTGTGGATTACCGTGGCTGCGGTGTAGGCGCGGTGACCCTTACCAGCCACCGTATCATCTGCTGAAGTTGCCGGCGGCACATGCACACTTTGTTGTTTACAACCAAAACTTTCTTGAAGCTAAAGCTGAAATAATGGCCAAAGGAGGAGACGGCAGCGCTCAGGACATTTTTTATCCCTCAAAGAAGACAAAGTGGGAAGTACGGGCATCTTTTAGATATTTGAAGAATGCCGAGGGACAGCTGATAGAAGACGGCTATCCTGTTTGCAGCACGTGCAGAAAAAGTGTCTGTGAAAGGCAGCAACGCTTCAAATCTCATGACACATCTGCGTGACCATCACCCACAACTCTACAGTCAACGCAAGGCAAGCTAACGTTAGCGTTTTAGCTAAAATGCGTGATCCGAGGATTTGGGTTGAGGGAGAACGCAACGAGTCGCTATATAAAGCAGCCGCAGCGCCGCTACCTGCATATAAACCGTGTCGCGGACACCGCCATGTTGAAATGACGCTATGCATTACGGGGCTCCCAGGGGCAGATAAGAGTTGGTCTCTCTCCGAGAATAATTATGAATTTAACAACGATTACTGCCTGATGACATTTTCCCACATCTGCAAAGCTCACTGGAAGGACACAAACCGAGGACGATATTTTCCTGATATAGGGTTTATTACTCAAGTAAGGGTAAAAAAGTATCTGATTAGAAGTCTACTTGAGTACTGAGTATCATCTGGTCTAATATTTTTAAAATGATGACATCAAACAGACATAAAATAAGAAGTTATGGGCAAATATTGGTATTTTAAAGACTAAAGGGGAAATATGTAAACAAACAACATAATTACAAAATAACACATTTTAGGCAAAATTTAGACACAAACTGAGGACAATATTTCCTGACATACAGGGTTTATTTAGTTGTCTGAAAATGTAACACGTTTAAAAAAATACCGCGATAATACCGAAAACCGTGATAATTTTGGTCACAATAACCGCGAGGTTAAATTTTCACACCGTGACAACTCTAGTCACAATGTTGTTGTGAACCTGTGTGTGTGTATTTGTTAGCAGCTCCGCCCTCTCGGTCTGCCAGGCAACAGCATTTGTTGCATTTTTAGAACAGGAAGTGGGCGTGGAGTAAGACTCTGGTAGGGGGTGACTTGCTCTTTAATCAGACCTGATTTTAAACAGCAGTGAGGGCTAAACCCAGCAGTCGGGTTTAGAACACAGAAGCAGACCCACGTTGGTCCATACCAGTGTCGGTGCAGCTGATGTTGTAATCAAGAACGTCGTGGTTCTGGTCTCCAGCAGACACACAGAGCAGGTTGGGCCGAGATGTCCCAAAGTCCCGAATCACCAGGAACCTCTGCAGGGAAACCCAGAGACCCGTTTATCCCGCTGAACGAGGGCGGAGCAGCCGGACAGTTCCTCCTCAATGCTCCCGTCCAGCAGCTCCAACAACAGAAACACCCGGTGGACGTTAAGGTGCTTACGCAGCAATGCAGACAAGGAAAAGGCTCAGCAGCACACTTTTTGTCAACTGTGTTTACTTTCCTGGGAAGCAGACCCTTCACAGGCCTGTGAGCAGCCATGAAAAACCCACATATATAAAAAAACACCTGTTCCAGTCGGGGAGTCTGACGCTTTTGTTACAAAACCGTTTTTAGGGCTCATTTGAACAAACAAACTCATACTTTTTACAAAGCGAGCAGTTCCTTCCTTCCTCTCAGTGAAACACGGCTTCCTTCATCACGTAAAAACCCCAAAGAGCAGATTTGATTTTAAAGGAATCTTTGTGCATCTAAAGCACGTAAACATGACAGTCGCGTCATCAGTCAGTGTCACTGACGGTAACCCTAATGTAGGCGGAGCCGTTGCCGAGAAGTGATTTATGACAAATGTCACCGTTTCTGTGCACCAATCACGATGCAGGAACATTTGAATCAAAATAAGATGGGCGTTGTTTTCTAAGTCATCAGGGCTTCTTGTTAGCGGCAGCAGCCTGAGACACACTTTCATTTTTTTTTCTGCTTCCTGAGAACAGCCCAGCAGCTGGTTGAGTCACAGTCAACTTGTGTGAAAGGAACACAACTTACTAGCGACACACAGGAAGTGGCTTTCAGGCTGAGCATGCACAGAAACAGAGTCGGGCTTGGCGCGTTAACACACCTAAAGCCGAACACAGCCAGCCACTGTTCCTCTCCCTCTGCTCAAAAACACACTCAGTTTTCTCTCCAACATTTGATTGGCATTAGTCAAAGGAAGACCTGCAGAGTGCACCAGACCCCCGAGGGTCGACGATTCTGTGCTCTAGAGAGAAGAAGAACCCTTCCTCAGCATCAGAGGGCTAATTTAGCATCAGTTCACGTTTTAACCCTTTGATGCATAATGGTCACTACAGTGGACAGGTACTCAAAATTGTAATTTCTTTATTTTTGCTATTAAGCACAGCTGATGAAGATTTTATTGCACGTGAGCCCCTCCATTTGGACTTCAGTAAGTCAAGCCAACATATTTCATGTTCAGAACGCACGCTGTCCGCTGAGATGGACATGTAATAAATTATTTGTAAATTAACAAAATGTTACAAAAATATTTGTTGAAATTTGTTTCATTCACACCTAAAGATGAATGAAAAAAATTGTTTAAAAAATCATGGTTGAAGATCTCATAATTCATGCATCAGAGGGTTAAAAGAACCGACACATCAAATCAGTCTGTTACTCAGAGCCGTGCTGCTGCTCAAATATCCCTCCTGAAATGTCATTTCCCCGATACGCTCACGCTTTTATCCAGCACCACTTCTGCACTCAGACAGAATCGTTCCGCCAAACTTAAGACGACAAACAGAACAGGAACTGCTTTGATGCGTGAGAGGATCCCACACGCGTTAGGGGCCAGACGTTTGACTCCCACCGGTCTTCAGTCGTCCCAGGACACGCAAGGCCCTGTCTCAGGATGTGCAGGTCCAGAGTCTCATTGGGTCCCAAGAGGTTTGAGTCACCAAACCAAGTGCTGTAATTCATTAAGAGTGACAAATCCTCTTTAAACATGAACAGCAACTGAACTCTGGTCTCTTACTCCAGCAGGAGTCCCACGGAGGGCAGAGTGAGCCTGCTCTCTGTCCCATGGGGCTGCGGGGCACCAGGCCTCCTGGTAGCTCCTCAGCTGCTCCAGGAGCGAAAGCCTCCTCCTGCTGCTCCTCCACGGGGTGGCCGTGGTCCCGTTAGGTGGACTGTGAACCGCCCTTGACATGTGGACACATTTATGTACATGTACTGTTTACATCTGGACACACACACACACACTTATGCTCTGGTGCGTCTGAGCTGGAACATGAACACGTTGGTAGTTTTAGCTTTAGTTTCTCACACGTAATAATCAGACAAAACAATGAAGTTGATGTGAAGCGAGAGCTTTTGTTACTCACATGTCTTCCGTCCTGTTCAGAGAGTGGTTTCTGCACACGTCCTCCTGCACGACGCAAACTGTTGCTTAAGAGTTCAAAAACACCACCGAGGCTAAAATAGGAAGTTCACTTTCCTCTGAGCGACTCTTCATTTTGTTTTTATTTCACATCTCTCTGGCTGTACTCACATGCATTCTTCTTCTCTCCTGCTCAAGATGACACTCAACACAGTTTCAATTTCTATAATCGCAGCTCCCCCCCCCCCCACCCCCCGTTCCACAAGTCAGCCTGTGGTTAACCAGACTCTGCATGATGCTGACAGTGACGAGTCACAGCCTGTAGTAGGAGACCAACCTGAGACTATTTAACATCCTACTGCAAAGTTGTCTCTGTTCTCTGCAGAGAAAGGACGACTTTAAGGTTTCAGGCTGAGGTCAGGTCAGGTCAGCTGTGCATCTTTAAAGACGAGAGTCTCAAACGAATCAGTTAGAGAAGTCCTGTTGAGGCTGGTTTTGGACTGGGTGGTTTTCTCTGCAGCAGGTCTGCCTGTCACTGAAACCACACACTGAGGCGTTGCTGAAAGGTCGCAGTTTCTATGGCAACCACACCTGGGGCCTTTGATCAATCGGAAACGATGCCTTCGAACAGTTCAACACTATCTGAAGAGCGCTCCTCGGTCTGATGTTGTACAAAAAACCCAAAAGTGAGTTATCTGATCAAAACTCCCAAAGCAGCTACTTTATACTGAAGTAACATGATTTCATTCGACTGATAATAAAAATGTCCTCTCATCAGAAGCAGCAGCACGTTTGTAAGATCTGACTGATTCGAAGTTCTCGAACGACTGCGGTTTGAAGAGATGGCTGAAAAATCCCACCACGAGATGTTCTGCTGCTTTGGACCAGCAGACCTTCTGTTCTAAGGGCTTTTGGTTCCCCTTGATCCTGCACCCACACAAAAACAAGTCTTAAACAGTGATTTATTAAGAAGCAAGAACGAAGCTCCTAAAATGTATCTGCAGTTTCAGACCGAGGTGTTGAGACTAAAGCTGAAAACAGTTTTTTCTCCTGCTCCAGCGGCACTAACTAGCCTTCATATGCCCGATAAGCTAAATAAACCCTTATTTTTAGGAGAACAGTTTAAGTGACCACACTGAGTTTAAAAGCATGTCATTTATTGAACCAGTTGTTTTACTATCCAACAGTTTACATTCTTACAGCTCAGTTCGTGTTGAGTTTTAAATGACATTGGCAACCACACCTGTTAATAAGCAGAAATGAACACAAAAGAGCAGAGAAACTCTTTTTGAGCACTTTTATAAACTGATCAGGATATCACTGACTTGCTAAACCATACAATAAAAACAAAAAGCAGTTTAAAACATATTGGAACATCTAAATCCGCTGATTCTGTGAGGAGGTGGAAACCTGACTGTTTAATAACGCCGTAATCAGCCCACACCGCCTCAGAACTCCCACCTGCGTTTCCCTGGAACATGGAAAGCTAACGCCAGATTACACGTGCCTGCCCGGGTTAAAACTGCAGAGAGAGGTGACATCCAGCTAACACCAATGTAAAAGTATGTCAATACTCGTAGAGTGCAGATGAGACAAGTGCACCGAGCAGTGAGTAGGGACGGATATCAGAGGCTCCGAGTTACTCCTCTGCCTTGGCTTTTAGACCTGCTGAAGCAGAACCAGGCCCGGCTGCTGCTCCTCTGCTTTCCCCGGACTGTTCCCTCTCGTCCTGACTGTCGATCCTGGTGTGCTCCTTCTTCACCACTTCTTCCAGCTCTGCCTACAGAGGCAAAGTGTTAAACCACAACAGTGTGACGTAATGCACAGTGACAGATGATGGTGCAAACATGTAAAAATAACTCAGTCTTCGGGTTTCATGACACATCTGTCTCTGTCCCACGACCACATGTCACACAGGAAAAAGTTCCCCCCACATGTGAAAAACCTTCACCTTTATTTCCTTCATGGTTCCACCGTTGCAACCTGATACCTACAGGTGTGATTAAACCGATCACCATCATCTCATTTAAACAGATTATCGCAGACGTTTGAACGGGTTCAGATTCCACCTGTTCCATCTAACAACAGCATTTACAGCATTTCTTTCATTTTTTAGGGAAAAGATGGAGCTGATGAAGCAACAAGACTTCATTGCCTATGGGTGTTGCTCAATGCCAAGGAACCTCGCCTTGATGTCTTTGCCCCGCCCCGGTTGCCTAGGAGACACATCATTTGGAGCCGCCAAGACGTGTTCCAGTGTTCATGTCCTACCGAGGCGTGTGTTCTCCGTTTGTTAGCCGTTTAGCTAGCTGAGCAAAGATACACGGGAGGTGTCTTGTAGCCTAGCCTTGGTCAAAAATTACCCAGAATACACCGCAGTATTTTCAAAAGGATGGTGGATCAGGAGCCGGCAGCTACTTCTGGGCAAATTTCAAGTTTAAAAGTAAGTCAACTAATTTAAAATGTTTTTTTTTCGATCCAAAGACGTTATCTATGGTTGGTTAGTTGCTTAGTAGTTGCAGCTTCGGTGGCTAGCAGGTAGTAGCTCACTTATATTTTTAATTTAATAAACATATACACAATTTAAAAAGTAAAAGGCTCGTTTTATATTTATATTGAAACTAATGCGTATAAAATATAACGTTATCTCCCGTGTCACGTGACGTTATGTGACCGCTGTGGACGCTGCGGTCACGTGATGCAAGTCTGTTCCATTTAACCATTTTCTTTGACCAAGGAAGGACCGTGTTCTCATAAGCAAGGCACCTTGCCTCGCAAGACATCACCTCGCAAGGCCAGGCGCCTTGACATTGAGAAACACTAGTGATGCACTGATATGAAATTTTGGGCCGATACCGATATTAAGATCAATGTTAAGGTCGATAACCAATATACTGACATTAATGCTTCTAAAATCAGCAAATTTGTATAGAATAAAAATCATTAAAGCTGAATTTACCGTATTACACACACACACACATACTTCTGAGATGATTACAATCACTGTCACATGACTAAACAAATACACATCACCTCCCTCACCGTCTGAAACAAGTAAACAAATGGAGACAAGATGGATAAAAATATCAGTTGTTAATATTGGCCCAGTTTAATTTATCAGACTGATACCAATGTTTTAAAAAATGACTAACATCGGCCGATACCGATATTGATGCCGATATATTGTCCATCCCTAAGAAACACCCCATGTCTTTTTTGCCTTTTGTTACGAACAGGTATGGGTGTTAAAATGAAGAACACGTCATAACACAGAGGCATGTGCAAGTTGGTAAAATTCAAACCTGTTTTATATAAACAGGGCCTTTAAAAACACAACAATTACAAGAGTTAAAAAGGCAAGTGGTTACATGTTTAAAACAGGGATTCCCAATTATCACAGGATCTTTCATGGACGTTAAAACAGAGTTGGAGTACCCGGCGCGGAGGGTTACCGGGGTCCCACCCTGGAGCCAGGCCTGGGGTTGGGGCCCGTGAGCGAGCGCCTGGTGGCCGGGCTTACGCCCATGGGGCCCGGCCGGGCCCAGCCCGAACCGGATACATGGGCTCATCCAACTGTGGACCCACCACCCACAGGAGGAACATGAAGGGTCCGATGCAATGTGGATCGGGTGGCAGACCAAGGCGGGAGCCTTGGCGGTCCGATCCCCGGACAAGAAAACTGGTTTTTGGGACATGGAACGTCACCTCGCTGGCGGGGAAGGAGCAGGAGCTTGTGGCAGAGGTTGAGCGGTACCGGCTAGATATAGTCAGACTCACCTCGACACATAGCATTGGCTCTGGAACCCAAGTCCTTGAGAGGGGTTGGACACTCTCCTTTGCTGGAGTTGCTCAGGGTGAGAGGCGGAGGGCTGGGTTGGCTTTTTGTTAGCCCCAAGACACTGCCTGTGTGTTGGGGTTTACCCCGGGGGACGAGAGGGTAGCTTCCCTGCGCCTTCGGGTCGGGGAACGGGGCCTGACTGTTGTTTGTGCTTATGTGCCAAATATCAGTTCAGAGTACCCACCCTTTTTGGAGTCCCTGGTACGAGTGCTAGATAGTGCTCCATTAGGGGACTCCATTGTCCTGCTGGGGGACTTCAATGCTCACGTGGGCAATGACAGCTTGACCTAGAGGGGTGTGATTGGGAGGAAAGGCCCGCCTGATCTGAACTCGAGTGGTGTTTCGTTATTGGACTTCTGTGCAAGCCGCAGTTTGGCCATAACGAACACCATGTTCGAACAAAAAAAAAACACATAAAACCGTGTGCCCATCGGTACACTTGGTACCAGGGCAGCCTAGGTCGCAGGTCGATGATAGACTTTGTAGTCGTATCATCTGATCGTATCATCTGACCTGCGGCCATATGTTATGGACACCCGAGTGAAGAGAGGAACGGAGCTGTCAACTGATCACCACCTGCTGGTGAGTTGGATCAGATGGCAGTGGAAGATGCCGCATAGACCTGGCAGACCGAAACGCATAGTGAGGGTCTGCTGGGAACGCCTGGCAGAAAAACCTGTTAAGACGTTTAACCACGTCCCGAGAGCAGTGGGGGACATTGACTCCGAGTGGGCCTTGTTCCACTTTGCGATTGTTGAGGTGGATGTTGCTAGTTGTGGTCGCAAGGTGGCCGGTGCCAGTCATGGTGGCAACCCCCGTACCCGCTGGTGGACACCAGAGGTTCAGGGAGTCGTCAGGCTGAAGAAGGAGGCCTACAGGGCGTGGCTGGTCTGTGGGTCTCCGGAGGCAGCAGACAGGTACCGGATAGCCAAGCGGGGTGCAGCAGTGGCAGTTGCCGAGGCAAAATCTCGGGCGTGGGAGGAGTTTGGTGAGGCCATGAAGAAAGACTATCGATCGGCTCCAAAGAGGTTCTGGCAAACTGCCCGGCGCCTCAGGAGAAGAAGGCAGCAACTCGCTCACACTGTTTACACTGGGGATGGGGAGCTGCTGACATCAACTGGGGCTATAGTCAGGCGGTGGAAGGAATACTTTGAGGAGCTCCTTAATCCCACCTATGCACATTCCGAGGAGGAACCAGAGCCGGGGGACCTAGGGATGGACTGTCCAATCTCGGGGGCAGAAGTTGCTGAGGTAGTCAAACAACTACACAGCGGTGGAGCCCCGGGGGCAGATGAGGTTCGTCCTGGTATCTCAAGGCTATGGATGTTGTAGGGCTGTCATAGTTGACACATCTATGCAACATTGCGTGGTCATCGGGGACAGTTCCTGTGGAGTGGCAGACTGGGGTGGTGGTCCCCATCTTTAAAAAGGGTGACCTGAAGGTGTGTTCCAACTATAGGGGGATCACACTCCTCAGCCTCCCTGGAAAGGTCTACTCCAAGGTACTGGAGAGGAGGGTCTGATCGATAGTTGAATCTCAGATTGAGGAGGAGCAATGTGGTTTTCCTCCTGGCTGTGGAACTGTGGACCAGCTCTATACCCTTGCAAGGGTGATGGAGGGAGCAAGGGAGTTTGCCCAACCAATCCACATGTGTTTTGTGGATTTGGAGAAGGCTTATGACCGTGTCCCCAGGGGCACCCTGTGGGGGACCCTCCAGGATTATGGGGTGGGTGGCTTTCTGTTAAGGGCCCTTTACCAGAGGAGCGTGAGTTTGGTCCGCATAGTCGGTAGTAAGTCGGACCTGTTCCCGGTGAGGGTTGGACTGTGCCAGGGCTACCCTTTGTCACCGGTTCTGTTCATTACCTTTATGGACAGAATTTCTAGGCGCAGCCGTGGTGTGGAGTATGTCGAGTTTGGTGGCAGGAGAATCTCGTCTCTGCTTTTTGCAGATGATGTGGTCCTCCTAGCTCAGGGGTCGGCAACATGTTCCCATCAAAGAGCCATTATTACCCGTTTCCCACAGAAAAGACTGGGAGCCACAGCAGCCGCGTCGTTGTGGGCGGGGCCTACCCACAGACATCTGAGAGCTGCTTTAACCAATCACAACAGGTGACAGCAGCCAGTACTGGTAGATCATGTATGTCAAAGTTATCTTTCATAAGAAGATAATCAATAAAATGATTTATATAAAATGGATCCAGAAGTTGTAGCCCGTCTCTGACTACAATATTTTGATATTTTTCACCCTGTTGGTGGTTTTACTGAGCAGATGCCCCTTTTGTCATACGTTTCTTTTTAAAACATGTTTAGACTGTTCAGAATACAAATCCAGGCTCTGTCACGTTTGATTGTTGTAATTAAACTTTGTAGGTGGGGAAGGTCAGAAAAGGATCCGATCAATTTGTTTTTCCCTCATTTACAGTGATGGAGATAACGGCGCAGTGCGCCTGGCTCTCGTGTTAATCAAGTTAAATTATATCTCTTTGCAACAATTTTCACTAGAAAACAGAACAGTTAAAAGCAGGGCTTGTGTCGTGTTGACCGGACAGTTCCCGTATTTGGCTGTTTATTTTGACGGAGAAAGAATAGAAAGAATTACCCCGACGCATGCAGACGAACTGACATTTTATTCGTTATGCACATCGCAGATGTAGCTAAATCACCCAAGAAAAGATTCCCATCTGAACATCTGAGCTGGACACTGCTCAGCGCAGCTCGCTGTCAGCGTGTACTACATAAGGTACACAGCGAGCTGAAGATGTGGAGAGGGGCTTGGAGCGTGTCGCAGAACCAGAGCGCATGCGGGAAGATTCCTCTGACTGAAGCGAGAGTTTTCCAAACCCGGTCTCTCAGAGAGACTTGTCACTTAGAAAATGTTCCCTGATTATGAAACTTTGGCTGAATTGTGCTTGTTCCTCTCTCCAATCTGGCGTCGCATCCATG